ATATATATATATATATATATATATAGATAGATAGATAGATAGATATATATGAATAAAAATAAATACATATATATACACATAGACTGTATTATTTTAACCGCTTGCCCACCTCACGTTCGACTCGCTGGGCCGTGAGCATTTAATGTTCCAACATCACCCATTTCTAGAGAACTGAAATTATAAACAGACACAGATAATTTTTACTTGTTTTTTTTTTTAATAGACAAGTGTCGTTTTTATTAAAGTGTATCCATGTTATTATTTCTATATTATCCATAGTGTTGAAAAGTGTTGTTCTTGCGTTTTGTTGCTGTTGCTGTTGTTACATATATCATAGTCTGGAAAGATGAACTTGAGATACCATAGCAGTTGCTGAATTTCTTAAAATGTGCGGCGACGTATACTAGAAGACGTGAGTATTGGATTACTGAATGGTGTCTGTTTTAACCAGTATAATAACTTGACTATTATTCCTAGTACTACTATTATCTGGGAATAAGAAAAGGAAATAACCAACGGCAGTTTATGCAACGATCGTGCCGAGATCTCGCTCACTAGATGAATGCCCTTCGTGCTGATGACACCCACCCTTCGTCTCGCAGAGTAAGGGCAACGTAAAATAACTCTTACGTACGAGGACTTAGAGTTCAGAGTACCAGCCAAGAGTTCTTGGGTCCCATCAGGGATGTGGCCGTACGGACAGTCACGAGATGTGCGGCGCGAGTGCTTGCGTCAGATACACCGCAGGCTAGCAACAGCATTGCCTCAGCAGGACCCGTAGTCACCTGCCCCCTGGCCTGTAGGTTTATCGGGTTCTCTTTCTCTGATGTTTTTATTCTTATTTTGTATTATTTTAGTTTGCAATTTATTTGGAATGGAGTTCAGCGTATTTGTATAGATGAGCCTTAAGTACATTTCATTAGGTGACTTTTTCGCGGGGGACCTGGTGTATCCATACTGAGGTTCGAGGGCGGGGGGGGGGGGGGGGGGGGGGGAAGAGGAAGAGACCTGGCGCTTG